GCCTCTGCCACACTGTCCAGGCGCTGCTGGCTCTGAATCTCCTTGTTGAGAGCAACATCGCTGTACTCCTGATAAAGCAGTGGGGCTGGAGGGGCGAGGATGTGGGAGAGAAGGGATTGGGGGGAACGGGAAGGGGAGTGGGGGCTTAGGCCAAAGCTGCCTAAAAAGCCCTCTCTTCAGGGGACATCACCACCCCCTGCTGGCGCCCTAAGGGTGGAACACACTCCAGGCCCAACAGACCCGCTCAGAGGTACTCACAGGAGTTGATAAGCTTAGAGCAGCGTCGTCGTGAAAAGCTTCCAGTCCCCTCCTTCGGCTTCTTCTCCCTGTGCAGGAAGGAAGGCTCTAAGGTCTTGCTGGCCACGACACAGAGGACCCCCGGTAGCTGCAGATGAGGAAGTGTCGGATCCGCTCTGTTGCGCTATGGATGGCAGCGCCAAGTTCCCAGGAGAGGAGAGAGCTGCGGCCTGACCCACGGTGGGGTAGGTCAGAGCTTGAGGAGTTGAGTGGAATCTTTACCTGGGACTCAGTTCATGGCCAAAGAGCTTGGAAGGGCAGCGGGCTCAGACCTAGCCATCAGAGCTGGAGAGGTACAGGGAAACCTTCCCACCCTGGAATCCTGGTGGTGGTCTCTTCCCCTCCTTATTCCCAGGTTCCAAGCCCCTTAACTAAAATCCTAATCAGGAGAACTTAGACACCAACATACAGAGCATAGCTGCCTCTCTTCACAGGAGGTTAACTCACCGAAAAACGACGATATCTGAGGGGTTGAAGAATCTTCCCATGGTCTGACTCCGTGAATCTGAAAATGAGAACGAGTGACACAGCTGAGATTTCAGAGGGACAACGAGAGAAGGTGAAGAGGGTTTAGAAGACATAGGATAGAAGATGTGGTGTCCAGAGGAGAGGAAAATGAAAAGAGCAAAGCAGCAAGCATTGTCGTACAAATAAGCATCAGCTATGCCCCTGCTGTCTTATCAGAAAACCGGAGTCAGGCAAGTAGCAAAGGCCTTCTGGAGCCCAGGGAGGACTGCAAGCTGGTGTGGGGACTAAGAAGAGGGAGCCATGATGACAATGAGGCAAAAGTGCCATCCAAAGAAGGCCCTACTTGACTGGGAGGAGGAGGAGCGAGAGGAAGAAGAAAAGGGAGGAGGAGGGGGAAGGAGAGGGTAAAGGGGAGGGGATGAGGGGGAGGGGAAGAGGAGAAGGGGAAGGGGAAAAAGTGAAAAAGGAAGGGAGAGAGGGGGAGGAGAAGAGGGAGAGGGGCAAGGGAAGAGAGGGAGGGGAAGAGGAAGGAGGAGGGGACAGGGAGAGGGAAAGGAAAAAAGGGAGAGGGAGAGGGGGAGGGGAAGAAGGAGAGGGGGCAGGAAAGAGAGGGCAGAGAAGGGGATAGGGGAGGGGAGGAGTGGGAGAGGGGAGGGGAGGGAGTGCATTCCAGGGAGCTCTGGGCAGCTGGAGTGAGGCACATGATCCGTGAGTGAAGCTATACAGCAAACAGTACACCGGGTATAGAAGGTGGGATAAGTGAGAAGTACTGGCAAAGGCCTGCCAACCTGGGTGTCACTGTGGTCCTCACCCTCGCTTACCAGAAGTACCCTCAGGCAGAATGGAAGGTCTGCGCAGGCCTTGTCGATTCCAGCTCTTGTGCTTGCTCGGGCCCTCACCAGGGAGCACGGCGGCGTGCCCACTGTTGGCCGCCACGGGCCTCCCTGGGTCCCGCCTGTGGGGCCAGCTGGATGCCTTCTCCAGCTGGGGATGGCTGGGCTTTTCTGGCTGCTTCGCCGAGTCCACGGCAGACCTCCTTGCACCACTGCCTCCTTGCTGAGGGGGTGACCTTCTCAATGGCCCTCTCACCGGGGCCTCAGACTCTCCCGAGAGCCTTGGTTCATCCTGAGTGTCAGAGCCCAGGCACTCCTGAGTCGGGGGGTTTGTAGGGGAAGAAGGGTCCAGAATGTTTGTCATGTTGCTGAAAGCCAGACCAGGGGACACTTCGCTCTTACTCCTGCTGGTGGAAGCCAAAGACTCTGCTGCTCGGCCAGAGGCTGGGGGCCAGGAGGTCCGTCCCGCAGCGGGTGGCGCGCAGACGGTCCAGTCTGGAACAGCGGACCTAGCACTGGCCAGGCCCCCGGAATTCTTCAGTCCTCCCTGGGTGCTCCTGTTCCTGGCCTTGGGCGGTAACGGGGGTGGTTGGGAGGAGGGATCTGTGATGGGCACAGGGGGCAGGGGCCTGTATGTCCTTGAGGTGCTAGAAGAGGGAAGGGGAGCAGGGAGGGGCTGGCAGAAATCAGGAGTCGGGGGCAGTGGTTTGTTGTATCTGAGCCTCGAGGAGGAGGTCTGAGCAGGATGGGAGCTGCCTGGAGTAGACGGCAAAGGCCGGAGCTGTCTTGCCACAGGGGGGTCCGGAACTTGGGGGAGGGGGCCTTTCAGGGGGCCATGTAGCTCTTCACTTAGGGGCAGTGGTGGAGGATGGCTCCACTTCCTCAGTGTGGGGTCCACTGCAGGAGGACCATCTCTCTCCACCAAGGAAGGGCGGCTGTGCCTTTTCTCTGGGGGAGGGGGCGGCAGAGGCTCACAGCCCCTCACTTCCACGGAGATAGCTGGGGGTGCAGAGCCATACGAAGCAGTTCTTGCAGCAAAGGCTGAGTCTGGGGGCGAGCCCTGGGGACTGCCAGTCGACTCTGGATTCAAAGTGAGTTCTTGAGATTCCTGCCTCAGAGCAGATAGTGCAGCACGGGGTTGTGACATACTGCTGCAGTCCCTACTGCTTCTCCTGTCCCTCCGTGGCATTACAGAACCATAGATGGCAGGTTTGGGGGGCCTCTGGGGTAACTCCGAATGAGAAAAAGAAAGTGACATTCCCACCAGGCCCGGAATCTGCTCTGCCCTGTGAGAACCTGGGAAGGAGTTGCTCCTGAGGTGCTGGGTGGCCCCTGAGCTGTTGGCCAAGGCACCATGAGGGCGGGTCCCATTGGCACTGGCACATGGGTCCTTGGTGACCTCTGCAGGGGAGTAGCTGTGGACAGAGGCTGCATAAGTGTCAGGTGCTCCACAGGCAGGCAGAGTGTCGGCTGAGAGAGGTCTCGGACTCTGCCTCCGTGGAAAGACAACTGGAGGGCTGGCAGGTGGTGTGGCAGTTGTGACGGGTAAGTCTTCAGCAGGACTGAATGGAGCTGAATCTGGTATCCTTGAAGGCTCTGCACCTGGATCAGCAGGGACCCCCTCAGTCCTCTGACTAGACCCTGTCTCTGTCCTGAGCCCAGACACTTCGGGAAGGCCAGGATGAACTGCAGTGTTGGGAAGTGAATCTCCAGTAGGAAAGGCATCAGTAGGAGAAATGGGTTGAGGGGAGCATCCTATGGGCCCCCGAGCTCTGGGAAACAGTTCTCCAGCCCTGGATTCCAGCTGAGTCCCAGGGATCTGAGCCACGGGACAAGAGACTTCCAGAAACAAGTCACAGGAGGAAGGGCCCTCAGGGGCAACTAGCGCCAGTGTGGAAGGACCACGACAGTCTCTGTCCTCTTCCACTCTCCGTTCTTCCTCCATTGTCCCCAGCCCATGCCCATCCCAATTCCCTGGCTCCTTCTCACTCAACACCACTTCCTCCTGCCTCTCTGTTGGCCTCAGTTTACCCCTTAGATCTGAATCTCCTTGCTTTCTGGTTCCTTTTTCCTCTGACTTCTCTGCTAAGCTTTGATGCTCTGGGTGTTGTGAGGTCACCCAGTGTTCCTCTGACCCCCCGAACACCTCATCCTCCTCTTCTGGACCTCCCTGACCCTGCCCTGTCCTCTCCCTGTTCTCTGGAAGCCATTCATCATAATTCAGACCCCCTGATTCCACACTAAGCCTCTCCCCCTCTCCTTGTCCTGCACATACCACACCATCTCGTCGTGCCTGTTCCTGGCTTGGCCTCTGTTCTCCCTCTTTGTAGTTAGTTGGCTCTACTACTGTCTGTTCTCGCTCCTGCCAAAGCCCCCCAGAGTCAACACCCTCCCCTGTAGCTCCTTCCCCCTGAAATTCCCCTTCCTGTTGTTCCTGCTTCCCTAACCCTTGGGCTTCCTGGGGCTGTAGGAAACCTTCTTGCCCATGACTTTCCAGTGCCTCTTCCCATTGCAGTTCTTCCTCCTGGCTGACACTTCCAGCTGCAGAGCCCTTGGTCTGGTGGGTTTCTGTAGGGTGGGCTTTGCTGGAAGGCCAACCTCTAGCTGGAGCAGAGGCAGCTGCAGAGGCCTCCTCCTCCTCATTGGCTTTTTCTGTTCGTAAGATCAAGGAGGTGAGTTCTGGCAGAAACTCCATATCCACTCTGCTGCCCAGTTCAGTGGACATAGGGGCTGTGTCCAGCCACTGACCCTGGACAGGGAAGGTTCTGGACTCTGGAGAAGCAAGTGTCCTTGCTCTGCTGTCTGCCGGAGTCTGGGGTTCTGATTCCCAGTATTCTGGAGTGTCACAAGCCACAGCAAGAAGGTCTTCAGGTGCATGGACACTCATGTCCCTCAGTTCTCTTGGCTGGGTTTCCAAGAGTCTGGGTCCCTCTGTCCACTTAAAAGATGGGCCCTGGCCTTCAATTTCAGGCTCCAAGGCAGGAATCTGGCTGCTCCTCATGACAGCTTCAGGGATAGCTCCAAATTCCTTTATGCCAGGGGTGGAAATAGACACTTCAGGCTCAGGCTCCTCGGCCTCCATCAGGGCTGAATCCTAAAGAGGGATACAAGACAAAAGGGTTTATAATGTCTCTTCTGCTTTTATCTACCAGAGGGAGAGCAAGAAGAAGGTGAGCAGGACATGTCTTTGGTTCCATTTAAGGTCATTCTTTGAGATAAAAGGGACTCATCATAATAAACAATAGCCGAAGATTTACCCAAAGGCCCATGTAAGTGTGGGGCCTTCAGTAGCTTACAAGGCAAAGACCCCATCTCACTGAGCTTGTAATCTTATGGGGGAAATAGACAACAAATAATGCAACTAGCAAGTAGAAGACATCATCCAAGGGTACCAAGAGCTTCCACGTTCGTTAACTTCCAGCTTGCGTTATGTTACTGTCTGTTTCTCCCTCTAGACTCTCCAAGCATTCAGAGTGACTCAGCCTCATATAATTCCCAGACAGCATGTGACACGCCCTAGATCTAACAGCTCAGGGAAACAGTGTCAGGAATGGGACCTTCCTCCTCAGTGGTTGCCCTGGGAGGAAAATAGGTCAGGCCACTGTAGTCAACACACAAGATACACTGTTTTCGTTTCCTTACCTAGAGTCAGGATTTTACTCATCTTTCTATTTTTATAGTACCTGGCAGAGCCTTATAACTAATACACAATTTTGTTTTCAATGATGGAGGCAGTCGCTGTAAAATGGAAGGATAAACAGACTTAGAGTTAACATGGCCCAGAGAGTTGTGCTGCTTTCAGTGTCTTTTTTTTTTTTTTTTTTTGTGGAACCAGGGATAGAACTCAGGCCCTCGCACTTGCCAGGAAAGCGCTTATTCCACTGAGCCATCCCCCCGGCCCCTGCTTTCAGTGTCTTACTTTGCTGTCCTCTCCTACGCCAGGAAGACTTTTCTCACTCCTCCAGATTGTGATTTGCTTTTCTCTTTTCTCACATCCGAGAGAAAAGAAGCTGCTTCCATTTCTGGCTATTCAAATCAACCCAGATTTCCATTTCCACTCTTCCTATTTCCCCTCCTCTCCCAGTTTCACATTCTTATTTTCACCCGCCTCTTCAGAACTCTCTGCCATAGGGTAGCTCTGTCATACCTTTCACTTCTCCACTGGAAGGTTTCCATCCATCCTGAAGGATTTCCCACCTTTCCTATCTCTCAAGTGTCTTTCAGGATTCGCGCCTACTGTGGTCCTCACGTCACACCTGCCTCATTTGTGCTGATACTATCTGACACTATCCTGGCTCTCTGACACTTCCGACAACTACACTTCTCTGATTTACCCTTGAGGTTTCCAGTGTTATCATGGGTTAAGCTGCGCTTCTCTCTGAAGAGATTATCAATCCACTTCCCCTTTCCTCTGTGTCACTGAGACAATGCTAACTATATAATTCTGTACATATTTGGAATTTCCCTCTATTTCAACTAACAGATGATAAACTGTATGAGATAAAAACGACATCTGTCTTGTTCAGTTTTCTATTCCTTGGCCAATACTAAGTGCTCAGTAAATATTTTTGACATAAGTCAGGTGTGGAGGCGTGTACCTGTAATCCCAGCGCACTAGAAGGCCGAGGCAGGAGGACATCAGGGTTGAGCCCAGGCTACACGGGCAACTTAGGGACTCAGAGAGAGCCCCTGTCTCAAAATAAACAACATGAATTTCATATAGCCCCTGGCCTCTACACATCTTACTGGGTTCCAGTTTATTCTCTACAAAGATCTCAGCGATCTGCAAAACACCACTTGTAGATTAAATTCTTCAGTAGTCTCTGACCACTCTTGGCAAGATCTATCTGCTCAGCATGGCGTGGTCATCCCCCTGCCCAGCTGGCCTCTGCCTTCCTTTGCAGCAGCCCTGACCTCCACCTGGTGGCACCTGCCTGCCCCAGCTCACAGCTCTGCTCCCCAGGAGGCCTTCACTGGTGCTGTTCTTCTGCCTGGAATCCCCCTCTGCTCCAGAGGACTCTTACTTTTCAAATGCAGATAGCACTTGTGAGTAGAGGCTTCCTGTCTATTTCCCAGGCCCCATCACCAGCTTGCAGGGCGCTCAGCAAGCATGTCTGCCAGAATGAAGACTGTAGAGTTAACACAGTGTGGCTGGAACTTTAGTTCTACCTTGTTTGAGACTTTGCTAGTTTGAAGACAACCACAGAAAACACTAAATCTCTGAGAGTACCACTTGTTTTATCCTTAAAAGAGAGATAAAGCATGACCTTCACCATTCTAACGCAAGAAAGTAAAGTAACAAAAAAGCTTGCTGCTATCTTTGAGGGTCATAAAAATGGTAGGGATTGTTGGCCTGAGACAGAAGTATAGGAAACACAAGATTTATAAACTTCAGGGACCTTTAACCACACATAGAAAACTGCTCAACTTGAAGATGAGGGAACTAAAGACACTTGCTCAGATTTTCTAAGCAAATGGTACAGGTCAAGGTCTTTTGATCCAAGCCTATTGTAAACACCCAGGCAGCCAACTGTTAGAAAGCTGGCAACAAGAGTCAAAGGAAGACCCTGGGCCCTACGGACCTCACATTGCACCCGACCCTACATCTTTCTTGTGTGGTCCAGGTATGAAGTGGCAGGAATAGCAGCTCACCTACCAGGATGCTTGTTGGCCTGCTGAACCACTCCACCTGCACGCCCTCACACATGCGCACACACACACACACACACACACACACAGAGCCACCCTTGCAGTGTCTACGCAATAGAGTCTGTCATAACCAAACAGGTAGGTCTGCAACTACTCTTCAGATGGAGTATGTGACAAGTTCCTGGCCACCCATGGGCAAAGATACCATCTATCCAGGGCAAAGAGACAGGTCTAACCTAAGTGTACTGAAGGACTTTTAGGTCACTTTATGTCTACCCCTTAAATACAAAATGTGATAAGTGACATTGTGGTGGGACATTGCTTTATCACATGCTAAATAACAGGCTTTCTCACTGCAGACACTTTCTGAAACGTGCCTCCTACCTGCCTAGGGAGCCCAAGTGTCTACCTCCGTCATCTCCCCTCACCCACATCTATACTGTCCATACTGCATCCCACCGCAACATTCACCACCATGTCCTCCAAGCAAGCACTCCCTGAGTTTATAAATGTGTTTCTATGATCTGTATCTTATCTCTAGATCCCATATGCTTCCAGGATATTTTAGTTCCAATCCAGTCATAGACTACAAGTCTGTCTCCTGCAACCCATTTGGCACCATTTGTAACAGTGTCTGCACCCAATTGCAAGTATCTGTGCTTAGTAACTGTTTACACTCAAAGGAAAAACATACCCCCACATCCAGTCCTTGGTCTTGTCTTCTCAAGCGTGACACAGCTAGAACATCGCAAAGCTAAAGGAAGTTTGAAGAATATGGTCTTACATAAAAACATCAGAAGGGAGTACCTGTGTGTCCAAAACCTGGTCCACCGGTATGCAAACGGCCTCACTTCCTTCACCACTTCACCACCTCCATAGCCACTACTTATCTGCCTGAGCACGGGCAAAGCCAGTGCATGGCGGCATCATGGGCATCTGGCCTGCATCCAGACCAGAGGAAGGCCAGGTGACTGCCCTGATTCATGTGTGGATGGAGCTTGCTCTCTCCTTATGGGGCCCCAGCACCATTACTTCTGCCTATTCCTGTTCATAGGAGGTAAAACTGTATTTCAAAAAAACCCATCCCTTGTCAGACTAGCCTTTGAAGTGATGTCAAATGCTCTCTCTCTCTCTCTCTCTCTCTCTCTCTCTCTCTATATATATATATATATATATGGCTCACACTTCCTGGATTTTCTAACAATGTCAATTTCAAATATTCTGACTCAGAGACACAAATCACTGAAAGAATCCTGAGATTATAATGCTTCTCCATTTATACTGTATCTTCTATGATTCCATCTACTTTAGGAAAAGACCCTCTTACCCTAATCAAAAAGATACATTCTTACTTTTAATTAGAAAATAAGACCACCAGGTAGACCATCATATAGACCATTATTAGAAAATAAAACCACCGATATAACTTGCCTCGCTTTTTGATACTCATTCCCCTAATACTATAAACATATCAAAATAAAGGCAGCTTCCTAGACCATTAACTGCTAAGACCTGTGTTCTATCTATTGTAGCAAAGCTCTACCAACCCAGCAAATGCTATATAGTAATAAACATTCATAATCCTCAATTCTTTTTATTTTACCTTTTTTTTTTTTTTGGTATGGGGAACCGAACTCAGGACCTTGTGCTTGCCAGGTCGGTACTTCTGTCACAGAACTGTCTCCGGGCCCAACAGTTTTGATCTATTCCATCTGAGAACATCACACCAATCTACTGTCTTATAGCTAGCCTCATATAACACCATCATTAGCAGCAATGTTAACTTCAGCCACCAGTCCCCTTGTGGCCCTAATGCCATCCACACAGACAACCTGCCTGTGACATTTTTGCATCCTTAACATAGGAGACCTTGTTCCTCCGGCTCACAGTGCAGACACTGTAACCGTGAGGGCCTCAGCCGCTGTGGGTCACCTCTTGGCGTCTACACCACCAACCCTTAGGTCATGCAGCTCCCATTCAACCCACCATTCTCACAAACACCCCAACTTGTCCACACTACACAGTGACTGACCAGTCCAGACACCAGAAATGACGTCTTCCCGTCTATCCCACAGACTTGGTAGGTAATGTGGCCACAGACCACGTGACAGAAGCCGGGAGCCCCACAGAGCCCTGCTGTGTGGATGCTCTTGACTGTAAGTGGAATCACTGTATTTTTTAGGAAGGAAGGAGGCCTTTTATTCCTCCTGACATCTCTTCTAACCAGGGCCTCGGCGTTCATTCCACCCGATCCAGATCCACGCAGCTGGGCACTGGGATTTCTACAGTGGGCCAAGGATGCAGGGCTTGGAGCGCATTCGGAGAGCAGAGGAGGAAAGAAGTTGAAAGCAAAACCAGTTCTCTCTCCCGCGCCTGTCTGGTGCGTCCTGCCCTCCAATGACAGGAGTCGGGTCAGAGTTCACTTTCACGTGGATAAGAGG